TTCACGTCCCACAGAGGGTTGTTCGAGTTTACTCGTATGCCTTTTGGTCTTTGCAATGCTCCTGCGACTTTTCAGAGACTCATGGACCGCGTCCTCGGGGAAGCAAAGTGGTCTTACTGCATGTGCTACCTCGACGACATCGTGATTTATTCACGAACCTTCGAAGAGCACTTGGCCCACATTGCCGATGTGCTTGGGAGGGTGAGAGCCGCCGGGATGACGTTAAATCCCGCAAAGGCCCAACTAGCGCAAATCCGAGTTCAGTTACTTGGCTTCACGCTGGGCGAAGGCTCCATTGAGCCAGATCGGGAGAAACTTCGAGCAATCCTCGATTTCCCCGCGCCCAAGGACGTACGCGGCCTGCGCCGCTTTCTCGGAATGGCCAATTTTTACCGGTCGTTCATTCCTTCCTGTGCCCGAGTGCAGGCGCCCTTGACCAAGCTCCTGGGTAAGTCAGCTGAGTGGCGATGGGGACCTGAGCAGCAAGAGGCGTTTTGCCGTCTGTCTAGCGCCATTGCGGAGACAGCGCAGCTCAAGCTCCCCGACCTGACCAGACCGTTTGTTGTCCAGACTGACGCAAGCGATCTGGGATTAGGAGCAGTTCTCCTACAGGAATACGATGGTGTGTTGCAGCCGCTGGCCTTTGCCAGCCGCTCGTTGATACCCGCGGAAAGGAATTATTCCGTGACCGAGAGGGAGTGTCTCGCCATCGTGTTTGCACTGCGGAAGTTTGATGTCTACCTGGATGGGACAAAATTTGTGGTGCAAACAGATCACAGCGCGCTTAGCTGGCTGATGCGGCTCCGTGAGCCTGCAGGCAGGCTAGCGCGCTGGGCTCTTCTAATACAGCATTATGACTTTTCAGTGCAGTATCGGAAGGGGAGCACTAACGTGGTAGCTGACGCGCTATCTCGTGCCCCAGTGTCGACCAGGAGCCTGGATCCCGGTGCGACAACCGCTAGCGGTGCCTTTGCGCAAGCAAGCGACGCGGGCGAAACGGCGACGGAGCCGCCGAGTGGAGAAAAGGGTGAGTGCGGCGACGAGCAAACCCTTTCCACGGGCCAGGCAAGCAGCGCGCCGCGAAGCGGGCGAGAGGGGGAGCGAAAGGGAAGCGAACCCGTGACGCCAATGCGAGCGGAGGCGATGGCTGCAGTCCTGAGTGGGAACGATACCAAGCTCCCCTTTGGGAGAATGGGAATCGCTTTCAGCAGACAAGAGTTACTGAAGGCCCAGCAAGATGATCCGTTTTGTCGCGAGTTGAGCGACGGTCTCAGGGAGACGGAGCGCCGAGACGCTGCTGGTAGTGCGGCGGGCGCAGGGGGACGGGAACCGGCGTGTGTCGCTGGGTCCCCCGCGGATACATACTTGCTGGACCATGATGGACTCCTGCTGAAATACATAGCCACCGATGAGGAGTCAGTGGACCCGTTTAAGGTGGTTGTGCCCAAAAGTCTGAGAGGCGCACTGTTGCGAGCCTCTCACGACGAGCCCATTGCCGGTCACCTGAGTGGCTCCAAAGTTTTTGCGAAACTGAGCAAGGTTGTGACTTGGCTTGGCATGAAGCATGACATTTTTCGCTATTGCCGTTCCTGCCACGTCTGTCAAACGGTGAAATCAAGGGGTGGCAAGCCGCCCGGCTTGATGAAACCGATTGTCAGTGAGCGTCCGTGGCAAGTAGCCACCTGCGATCTAATGGGGCCGTTCCCCAGGAGTAAGCAGGGGTTCATACATCTGATGGTAGTCGTTGATCATTTTTCCAAATGGGTGGAGCTGTTTCCGCTGCGGAAAGTGACAGCGCGAGCGGTGCTAGAGAGGCTACAGGAAGTGTTTTGTCGGTTCGGCTTTCCGAAAAGATTGATCACGGACAATGCGTCATATTTTACCGCTCGGGTGTTTGGTAATACGTGCCGTTCCCTAGGAATAGATCACTGCACCACTTCGCCCTACCATCCCCAGTCCAATTTGACGGAGCGAACCAATCGTACGCTCAAACCGATGTTGGCGGCCTTTGCCGAAAGTCAAAGGGATTGGGCAGACCATTTGAGTGAACTCGCGTTTGCAATCCGAACCTCCGAGAGTCGCTCTACTGGTTTCTCTCCCGCCTTCCTTAATTTCGGAAGGGAGTTGGCAAATCCGGTGACCAGTGTCATGCAATGCCAGCTCGGAGACGAGGAAGAACCGGCAGACTGTTCTGCTTACGCTTCCACACTTCCGGACAGGCTTTGTCCAGCTCTCAGTAGAGCGAGGCAAAGTTTGGCATCGGCCAGGGCCGAGCAAAAGGCCCAGTACGACCGAAAACGTCGCCACCTTTCATTTAAGGTGGGTGACCTCGTCCTGAAGCGCAACCACGCTCTTAGCGACGCGAGCAAGGGTTTCTCAACTTCGCTCGCTCCAAAGTGGCTTGGTCCGTACCGAGTGGAAAAAGCTTGGACTCCACTCGCGTACTTGCTGAAAGACCCGCTTTCGGGAAAACTCAGCCGTGCCCATATCGCAGACCTGAAAGCCTTTGCGTCAAGGTCTGACGAGCCTGCGCCAGCGCCCAGTGGCTCTTCGTGCAAGCAACGGCGCACACCTGGTGCGGCGGACCGCATTCGGACCACGCACCGGTACAATCTGAGGAAGCGGTCACCTTAGTGATTTCGCGCCGGACGGCGGGCTTATTTCCGCAACCGAAGGCCCTCAATTTTACTTTCTAGTCTCAGTTAGCTAACTTCTTTATAGCCAGTGCTAGCAAAGAAGTCTGTTCCGCCCAGTTACTGCTGCTGATTGTCATTGAGTGTTGTTGTTTACTTGATGTTTTTCAGTGTTTTCTTTTTTTTCTTCTCGCTGGAGGAGGGGATTGTGAATTGGTGCTTTAGCGTGGGGAGAGGGACAAATGACACTCTGCACTTCCCTTGCGGTGCACGTTTGAAGAGACCCGACCATCGGAGGTGTGTGTGCATGTGTGTGTGCGTGTGGCGACAACTTAGGAAGTCACCAACCCCTACACCACTTTGGACTCTGGAGGTGATCGGAGACCTGCACGAGGCTCTTGCACGAGGCCAGCTGTCGCAGACGCTGTGCACGACTCGACTGACGCCGCAAAACGCCTCGCAGCCAATGGATTTGGCGACCATTATTCCAGCAGAAGGGCCGGCTGTCGCAGCGAGGTCCATCCGAACCTCCACCGAGGCGGCGTTCGTCGGACTCGCAGGGCTGTCGTCAACATCGACCAGACGAAGGTGAGCCCGTTCCTCGCATGAAGGCCTCAACCAGAACCCTCCCCTTGAACTCTCGCATCCACGCAATCACCCAAGTCAGACATTACGTGACGCTGCCCCTCCGAGCCGTGGACGCGCTCTTGCGTGAGCATCATGAACTCCCGTTACCCCTCTTCCGCGGAGCCATTGTATTTGTCAAGTGTATTCTTGTGTTGTTTTTTTTTCCTTCAGCAGCAGTTGCAGAGCGAGGCTGAGGCTAGCTGTTGCCCATTACATGACGCCTTTGCATGCATGGGCGACGACTGGCTGCCTTTGCAGACCGGTATATAGGGTGAATTAAGGAGAGGAGGATGTGGGGATCTGAGGCGCGCCCGCGACCATTTTCGCGGGCATTCCGCCACACGGCCACACCCTTTTGCTTTCCTGCCCTGTTAACACCACGTGGCGATAAATGGCGCCACGTGCGGGCACGGCGCGCGGTACGCGCGCGCCGAGAGAGCGGTCTCTTCTCCGTTGGTCGGCGCCGGGTAAGCACGTGTTTTCCTTCGTCCGCGTCCCCTTTGGGAATCGCCGGACTGCAGCCTGCCTGGGGTGGCCTTGGGCACCTCGGCAGGCGTGTTTACTTGAGTGCTAGCTTCGGTAGCGTACGCTAAGCCCACAGCGGTGCCTAGTGCTTGAAGTGGTCGTACCACAACGAGCCGCACTTGCCGTAGGCCCAGCGCGTACGAGGTTCGCCCTAACACTCGCGACCAGGCCCAGTGGCCATCGTGAGAGTGCGCAGCATAGCCGCGAGGGACCTTTTCCCGACCGGCGTGTCAAAGCTCGCCATTGCCAGCTGCGACGTGCTCGCGGTTTTCCCCTTATTGTGAACGTCCGCGTGCGGGTGCCTTTGCTACCCGCGTCCCGGGAGCGGACGTTGTGCTGTTGTTCGGGGTGCCGCCAGAGGCAATAAAGTGTTGTGTACTGTTACATTAGAACACTGTCTATTTGCCGCGCCGCGCTAAACGCCTTATCAGTTGAGCGCGCGCGGAGCGGTGCGCTACACGCGAGTGAACGGAGTAGCAGCCCTGTGGCTCGCTAAGCGTGAACCCGCGGTGATCGTCCGCTGCAGTTAGGAGCGGGGTCACCATAACGCCACGTTGCTTATGAAAACCTGCGAGCTTTTCTTTGAGGTTCAGATATCTTCTAACTTTCAGCCAGCAGTAACTTTTCCTGAATGACATGCAGCTTAAGATCTCTGTTTACTCACGATCACAAGCCTCGGGCACACAAAAGATACATGATGCAGCTATATTTATAGTGCAAGATGACCTTCCTTTGCTGTGCATCATCGCGAAGGGTGCCTTCCCACTGTCCTGTGGTACGGGTGGACCGAAGGGTCGGTGGAAGGGGAGGGAAGTAGGCAGCAATGCACTCTAGGGTGACATGAAAGGTTGTGAGGATAACACCACATGCTGGACAGGTGTCAGTATATTGAGTTGGGTATATTTTATGCATGAAGTGCAGATTTCGGACAGTTTGGGTCTGCAGCCAGCGAAGTGCAACAGCCTCCTCTTATGAGAAGGGCTCTGGCGAGTGTTGGTTTCTCTACATGGCTGGGAGTTCAGTGGCCCAACTACAACTTCTACTCCCCAAAACAAGCAATATCTGATACTACTCCACAAGCACAAAAAATGAGAAGCACACAGCACAGAACAAGAACACACAGAACAAGAACAAGGAACACCAGAAAACCTAGTGTGGAGGTGTGGAAACATGGATAAACAAGAAAGAATTTATAAATAAAAAAAAAACAGTCACCTTTTCCACCGAGTAACAAGAACACGGTCACCAGGGCTGACTGCAATGCGGGGTTCATCGGTGAGTGGTGTGGTCATGCAGACAGAGCAACCATGTGAGATAGGGAAAAAGGAGCCACGGAAAGGATGCACCACTGTATAGAGACGAGTTCGTAGCCGCTTGTCGTGCTTCTGAAGAATCTGCTCTACCTGCAAAGGAGCAAGACAAGGAAGAAGACTTTAATAGTATAGTGGGGTGGGGCCTAATTGCAATATCTATGCTAACTGGAGGTAGCATATGTGTTGACAATTTCTGTAAGTTAAACTAAAGCAGCATTGCTCCTAAATGTATTTTACAATACAAACAGGTGCTTTATCACAGGAAAAAATTCACCAACAATTATGATACTGACTAATGTGAATTCTAAGCACAGCTTTGTGTTGGGACAAGGTCAACTGTGCTTGAAGTTTTGGCTTTCCACAAGGTAACAGATTATGCCATAAATAAATTTTCTGTGAACTAGAAGAGCTCCCACGATGCCATTATTTGTCCTTCTGTGAATAAGAGACGTACTCGCTGCACATTTGTAAGGTGTTATGTGCACTTCCTTGTAAATGGCTTATAGTGATGAGGAAATATGGCTGAACACTTTGCAGTGGGAAACATTAAACCGCACACTCAGTGCACAATTAGCATCATGTGATGACTGGCTGTTACTTTACTCATCCACCACACTATATTACATGCATTGACACGATTCCTTGTCAAGACTGTGCTTTTATAGGGTCTTTTTGCAAAGAAGTTTCAAGCACCAGTGTCGCTTTGTGGTAGAACACTCGGCTGACACGCAGAGGGCCGGGGTTCACATCCTATTTAATTCTGTTTTTTTTCTTATTTTATTTTTTCATATCGGCTACTTTTTCACGTAATCGGTTACGCCACCAACTTAGATACAGCCCAATGCAGGAACGAATGCCTAAGGGCTGCACTCTAAAAATTATGTGAAGGGTGAACTGGCTGTAAATGGAGGCAACAGAGGGTGTCTACGTGGCACTAAGTTATGTTTTTGTTGTTAAACATGCTTTCTGCATGTTTTGAAACAACTTGTTAATCATTGAAGAGAAAATATCATTCAGAGTCCCAAGGCAAAGACCTCCCACAGGTGCATGGGTGCTTCTAAGGAGAGATGCCAGTGTAACGGAATCCTAATGTATATTTTTATTTGCATTAGTATAAAGATTTTTAAAAAACCAGAAAAAGTAGTGGTCCAGCTACAGATCTTGTAGCTCCAGAAAAAAGTATTTTTTCTATTACTTTTTTTTATTGCCAACGTGTCTCTTGACATAAAAGGCCGTAAGCTCATTTCAGAAGCAGCACACTGAAGCTTTAATTTAAATGTGGGCTGCAGGAGGTTCAGTTGCAAGTCACGTGCAGCCCAGAGATCTTAGTAGCCCTGCCTAGGAGAGCATTGCTTACATTTGCACAGAACTTTCAATTATCTACACTCAAGCCTTATTATAACAAAGTTGCATCTTTTACAAAAATAACTTAGTTAATTATAAAAAAAGTTAATTATAAAGGTATTATTATATATTATATAACTATAAAAGTTAATTATAAAGGTATATTTCTAACACTATATTTATTGCAAGATTGTTCTTAATTTACTTCGTTATAACTGATATTTTATTATATCTGGGTTCCTTACATTGAGGTATAGTAGTTGTTTTACTACAGTTTTCGAAGAACACATACAGGCTTAATAATAAAAACAATGTGGTTCTTAAGTTATAAACTCAATGTCATACACTGTTCATGCACAGTGGGAACTGAATGGGAAATGTTTAATGCCCACGAAAATCACTTTTTATTGCTATAGTTTTGGTTTCCTACTTCTATGTTGTGTGCATGTAACTTTTTAGTAACTTTTTACTAAATTTCTTCAGGAAAAAAAAAAGTGAGCACAGCAATCAATCAAATATCGAATACATAGCAACACTAGTGCAGCAAGTGGTACAAGTGGAAATATAAAGCTATAATAGGTCTGACATAGTAACTGAATTTCGCTACTATACTCAGGAACAACTTTCTGTGGCGATGAAGGGAAGGCTACGGAGCCAAAGTGGGCATGTGCCATGGCTGTAGAATATAGTGCCACGAATGCGTCTGTGTTTTCCGCGTGAAAGTAATAAAAAAGAACAACATTATTTTCTACTAGATGCTGTTTATAAAGAGATGCTGCACGCGCTGAGGAGATACCATTATTTGTTGTTGCTTTCTGAAGAGTCATTTCGTGTTTTTGTGCGTCTGAAAACATCGCACATTTTACGTGCACCTCACACTAAAAATGGTGCCTTTGCCTTTAGGTGAGCATGCGTCACGCTAAAGCTGTTCCGACGACTCACCGAAGCAGCTTGAGTCGAATTTCTCTCCCAAGTGGCCGTGTAAGCAGGCATATCAAATTGTGTGCAGTGGGATTACAAGAACGCGGCCGTCATTCTAAATGCGAGCCTAACCAAACTACATCGCGGAGGTGTACAAAAGCAGTAGCTCCACCCATGTAGCCTTCATTTGATTGCCACAGAAAGTTGTCCCCGAGTATAGCTACTCTCAATTTGTATGACCTGAGTGGAAGGTTCAAAGACAATCCCGCAGGAAAGACATCCGATGTTCTCCTGCATGAAAAATACTGAGAATTGAATTATGACATCTGAAACTGACGATCAATGACATGGAGTTGTTGGACAAACAATACGAACCAGGTCATCTGCAGTTAACAGTGCTTCCCCTTTGATAAAGATAAAACACACCATTATAAACACACACCAAAAGCGCGCGCGCACACACATGCACGCACGTGCACACGTGCACACGCACACACGCACACGCACACACACACACAGTAACTACTTTAAGATGAACTCCAAGGGACCACGATCATTTGTTTGTTTTATCACAAGTGTCCCCAAAAACCAAATGCTAACATGCCAAGCATGCCCAAATATGTTGCTTGAAAACACTGAATGAAATATACAATGGGGAGGAAAGGAACAAAAAAAAAGCATTCATTTGGCTCAGCCTGATAAAAACTATGCTTTCAACACAGTAGAGTATTTAAACTAATCTAACGAGGACTCGATTTCATAATATATACTATGCCCATGTATAAATTGCTACCACATTTTAACAATAAATTTATAGCACAAACCTATTTTGACAATTAGAAAAAGATAAAGAGGGAGGCAAGCATGATTTCCCTCAAAGAATGGAATATTTATTTTTCTGGCTGTTCCCCTTCTGAGAGGCTGCTTTGATGATTTTGCTATCACTTTTGCACACGCCTTCATTGCATACCTCTACCTTGACAAAGCCAATATACGCCATGTTGCTTATGAAAACCTGCGAGCTTTTCTTTGAGGTTCAGATATCTTCTAACTTTCAGCCAGCAGTAACTTTTCCTGAATGACATGCAGCTTAAGATCTCTGTTTACTTACGATCACAAGCCTCGGGCACACACAAGATACATGACGCAGCTATATTTATAGTGCAAGATGACCTTCCTTTGCTGTGCACTTTCATAATGAAAACGGCACATTACAATTTGCTGATTTTCACTGGCAACAGATACGACAGTCACAGGCCCTATGCAAAACAACACAAACTGAACCCAACATGTGCTCAGGCGCCATTGAGTGACGGCAATGACCATGCATCTGAATCATCTGATGAGAGTACTAGTGCCGCATAAGTGGTTTCTGTTTCATGTGATTATAATGCATAAACAATCTTTGTTCCCGTTTTCACTTTTATTTGACTTTCTTTCTTGCCCCTTCTCCCTTGCATTTTCTCCTTTGGTCAAGCTCATGAGTTTTTCTGTTCTCCACTGTACTCCAGTTTAGGAACTGAAGAACACGAGAAGAATGCAAAAGAATGAACACTTTTTGTTGCTTCCTTTGATGATAAACCAGGCTAGGGGTGAGGAAGATACCAGCATTATGCGCTGACCTTTCTTTTCCACTTATTTCGCTTTCTCCCTCCACGTCGCAATTTACTTTTGATTTGCTTTAAGTCCTTGCACCAAGATGATTTTTTTTTTTTCATTTTGCTTTCTCTTGTTCGCCTGAATGCCTTATCAAAAATACAATATTCCTTGTGCAGATTACTTGTCATTGTCGGTCGCTACGACAGTTTATCTTAACAGAAGAGGCCTGTTACTTGGTTCGTCCTAAGAATATTTGTTTTTTTTTTTTTTTTTGCATTTGGTCTATGGAACACGATCAAGCAGCACTCTCGTGTTGTTCATCTTAGGCAATAATTCGTCTTAGCAGAGTTCGTCTTAACGGGAGTTTATTTATATATATATATATATATATATATATATATATATATATATATATATATATATATATACACACGCACGACATGAACATGTGACGAATATAAAGTACAGGTCACAGCACAAAAATCATGTCATGCATGTCATACGCATTGTGGTATCATTGAAATGATTTAATGCTTTTGCGGCCATTTCAGTAACTTTATGTTATATCGAAATTGCTATGGCACGACATGAGTGTACAACCAACTTGAATTATAGTCATAACATGAATAGACGCAAGTTAGGAAACAAGCATTCCAACAACTTCGAAAACAATGGCTGCAACTTACAGTCAGTGTATACTGGTTGCATCCAGGCACAACAGGCCAAGTAATGCCATCACCAAGTGGGTACAGAAAGACCTGCTTCAGGTTTTCAGCCACACCCAGGTTGTAGGGATAGATGAAGTCATCTTCATCATCACGCTCCCTCATCTGGGCCTTGGCCACAATCCAATTCTCAATAGTTGTCTCGTTGCGAACAATAATTTTCAGCTGCATGCATAGGAGGTAACACAGAGAGAGAGAAACAGTTGTAGAAGAGTTGCAATGCCTGCACACATAACAAACAATAATTCCACGACAACAAAAGCACCAGCTGATAACAAAAGCAATCAAACATATTGCCATGTATTGCTTCACAAGTTTGCCATCCAATTCAAGACACTGTAGATTTTTTTGCCCTTTAAGTTAGCATGCATAATTTGGAGCCTAGATGCCTGTTTGCCACAAAGACTGCCTTTTAAGCACCAACCATGGTGCACTAGACCAGTGGTTCTCAGCCATGGATGTGTCGGGGACCCCTTGTCGACTGATGGAAGTAATGGGGGACCCCTTGCAGTGGAGGGGAGGGAGGGGGGGTATGTTGATTGATTGATTGATTTGTGGGGTTTAACGTCCCAAAACCACCTTATGATTATGAGAGACGCCGTAGTGGAGGGCTCCGGAAATTTCGACCACCTGGGGTTCTTTAACGTGCACCCAAATCTGAGCACACGGGCCTCGACATTTCCGCCTCCATCGGAAATGCAGCCGCCGCAGCCGGGATTTGAACCCGCGACCTGCGGGTCAGCAGCCGAGTACCTTAGCCACGAGGGGGGAGGGGGGGGGGTATGTAGGTGAATTAACAGAACTGAAGTGTGAAACAGGTGCCTTTTATTGCTACGAAAAACATCAAACAGGCCTCATCACTTCATTTTGCACAGTTCATCAATACGTCCCACAAAAAGAAAAAAAAAAGCGAGTGAGGGTTTCGCGGACTATAAAAATGGCTTCGCGAACCCTCTAGGGTTTGCAGACCCCCATTTGAGAACCACTGCACTAGACAATGGCCAAATATGGGCAATAACCTTGATGCCCCTGTTCCATATTAGCGAGGTATTGCAGAAGTTTGCGCAACATATGCTTTGCACTTTATGTGCCAATTGAAGACTACTATTCCTACTTACACTTCAAATAGCATGCTCGAGTTTATCACTCTATATGTAACTCATGTTCTTTTATTTTCACAAACATTCTATTACAACATGTTCAAGGCAGTTGTCAGTCCCATTCAAGGGGCCACAACACGTTAATTCAACAATTTGTGGTTTAAACTAGAATTAGAGTGTCTATCATACCTAAACATAAATGAAAAGTGGGCTGCGAAAGATTATTTCAGTACGACAAGCCACAGAAGTCACCAGCTGTAAACCTCACCCACCGCCAGCGACGTCATTTAGCCAGGGCGTGAGCAATGTCATGTGCTGGAAGGATCAGAGCAGCTGTCTCCTACCCACGTTTTAGCTGCTGCAGATCGTTCCATTTCTGCACCAAGTGGCAGAAAGCTTAAATATTTAAATTTCACACACAGCTCACCACAAAGAAATTGTTCTCCGAAATGCAGCTAGCTGCTTGTTATATCAAGTTCTTGAGTGTGCCAGTGTTGCCAGATTTTCAGACCGCTTACATGTTTATAAAAATATTCAATTATAAACTAAGTCCTCAACTAAATGCACTAAAATATTTGCAGCTTATTTCTGTATGCACAAAGATTAACCCACATAATAAAGATTATGATTGAAGATTGGGTGTCATGACCCCTTTAAGCACAGTTGAATAAATTTATGGACCTTTATTTTCTAGTTTTGTTACACAGAGAGAGAACTTATATTATTGTCATCAAACAATTAAAAAACCATACATACTTATCTTCAAGGGGCCATGAAGCATCCCTCAAACTTTGTGAAAAAGCACATACTGCAGAAAGCAGGCTATGCTGAGAACAGCTCAGCCAAATTGTGTCATGCAGGCCAAGGAATGTTTGGAGCTTGAAGCGTGGAGTTGCCATGTTCTCAGGGGCCCTCCTTCATACAAAGGACTGTGCTTACTCTCTTAGGAGCTGCCAGTGCCTGTTGTTTGGCATCACATAACAGATAGTGCCAATAGATGACATAAATCAAGAGTGAAGCTTGGGTAAGATGCACTTCTTGCCACTGCGTGTCGTCAGGTGCCAGTACCGGGATCCATAATTCGTTAACATTACAGAGTAGCACACACAGATATCCCAACAACAGAGAGCGATCGCGTCCCATCACATGCACTCAAGGTTAATATGCACACTGACACAACTTTTTACCCCTGTGCCTTCGTTCAGGCATGCTCATCATGATGAGAGAAGAGAGAAAGTGTCAAAGTGAGCATCTAATCCCTGTAACTCCACTTGCTCTAGATGGACTTGAGCAATTTTTGCAGCAATCAGTCAGGCAATAAATGCCAACACTGAGGTCATTTGTTAATTATTTGGCAAAGTGGTAGAAGACCTTTTGAAAAAGGTCCAGTCTTTAAAACTGTGACAAAGTTTTTTTCAGGTTTCCACACCAGCTTTCCCCAGAGTAATGAATTTTAACATGGTCTCCTTGGATGAATTTTAACATGGTCTCCTTGGGCCTTGTGAACGTTTTCTTAGTGAAGAGAGGAAAAACTATAGGTATTAAAAATTAACCAAGGGTGAGCAAAGATAGCTTTAAGAACCTTTACTACGGCACAATGGCTTTTATATAACATAACAGTACTTTGAAATCTGTAACATCCTTCCTATGTACCAACACGCACTTTGGTACAAAATACATTTAGGGATGTAAACTTTGGCTTTCTTTTACTGAAACTTTCAAAAACACCTGATTAATCTAAACTGATATAATAGTTCCAGTAGTGTCCCATTAAAAAATCTGCCAAAATGTGAGAAAATATACACAGATGTACCAGTGCTAAGGCTTTGGCAGAAAAGGCTATAGAATAGAAGTTGGGCATTAATTTAATATTTTAGGCATTTTATAACTGTGAGACTAACTAAAAAAGAGAATTTCAAAGAATATCAGTCTACACAAACTGTATACACCGTTGAAAGCAACGTCAATTCACCAACACAACAAGCTTTCTTTTCAAAACTGGATCACCTATGCATCAAAGTAGTCTGACCTGTATACAAAAGAGGCTTCCAACTGCAATGATGACACCAATCGCTAAGCCCAAGCTCAGCACCGTGGCCAGAAAAGGGAAGAAACCCAAGTAAACTAGATTGTCTTCTTGACCTTCGCGCATGTAGTATTTCTGCAAAAATGTAAAAAAGTGAAATAAGGAGAAATAAGAAACAACTCATATGAGTAAGATAGAAGAAAAGCTTCATATTTGAAACATGCCAATTTTGTTTCTTTAGATTTTCAGTTCACGTAACACTGAACTTTAGTCAACTGCATTTACCTAGCACAGAGGTATTAAATGTACTGCCTTAGTTACAAAGTTGTGGAACGTCTGTCTTGCTTTTTTTTTTTCTCATGCGAAAAGAATGATACAGATATATATCCTATTTTGTTACTGAAAACATTAACTGACTATAGTGCACACATGTTCATTCCATATTTCTGTATTTGTACAGTATAGTTTTTACCTGGAAGCTTTTGATTTGGTGTCATAATACAGATGCACACAAGCTATGTTTGACTATTACTATCAATTTCCCTACCAGAGAAAGCGAACTTGAGATGCCTGCTACGGCCCCTGCACTCCCCTTGGTTCCTACGCATCTATGAAGCTCGCACTGCATGTGAAACATGTCTCGTTCTGCTATGTTGCCCTGATGAGGGGCTGGTAATTACTGCTGCATTGTTAACTGCCCTCACAGAATGGGAAACCCGAAGGATTTCATTGTACCCATAAAATTCTACCGATTTTAAAACAGATGGCACTAAGAAAGCAGACGACAGGCACGACTTACTGAACAGGGTAAACAAATTTTGCTACATGCGCTAGCAGTGCATGGCCACGCTTCAAACATGCAGAGAAAACTGCATGAAAGTAGTAAACATAACCAGAGTTCATTCCTTGTTTACAACTGCACTATTCAATAGAGTTACTAGGCGGTACAATTCCACGTCTTGGTCTTGTTGGCATTGAAACAAAAATTACTACACTGCACTCAACTTCTGTCTTTTCACTGATAATAAATATTTTTGAAGCTATATACAGTAGGGTGTGGAACCAACATGCGCATTTCGAATTGCTAACAAAACTGCTTACGGCAATTGCACGCCATTAGTTGCAGCAATTTATGAGGACCTATGAAGACATTTGTGCTACTTCAAGAAGCCTCTGCAAATAATGCATTGCTGTAAAGGAGGCCATGATCTAGAAATAGTTTCAAAAATGACCTTGTAATTGGAGGTAAATAAATGACATACTTGATCTAATTCGTATACACTTACCTATTTTTGTCCCCGAGTCTAAACATAATATATGGCTACTTGAAATATGACGATAGTAAAAACCAACAAATAATGAAGCCAAGAAAGGTACAAGGGGCGTCAATTGTTCATTTTAGCTGCATTGTAGTAATCGTGATATGATTGTGAAGGAAGTAAGGCGTACAAATGTACGAGTGAATAAATTTGATTTAATATTTGTCTGGCAGTTTTCTATGCAACAACTTTTCCAACTGTCTTCTGGCTCACTTAACTTATTACGTTCATATTTATATATCAATACAGTACAAGAGTACACACAAGAGGAATTATAACCTTTTTGGAAACAACTGGACTATATGCGCGACTATAAAATGTGTCTCAGCTAGAAAGAACACTACATACTCACCTCTCTATCTCACCATCGTCATTCATTAATCTTTCTTTTCCCCTTTCCCTTCCCCCAGTGTGGAGTAGCAGGCTAGAGCAAGCTATCGCTCAGGCCGACCTCTCTGCCTTTCTGTAAATAAACTTATCTCTCTCTCTACAAGAATACAATTATTGTTCCCTATACCTGCTGTAGCTTCATTATATGTTGGTTTTATTAAGTTTGTATCAAACAAAAAAAAACAAGCCCTTCAATATCCCTGCTTGAAATAAGTTTGCTTGAGCCGATACAAACACCTAACTTTTGTACATACAGGCACTGCCAAAACGAAACAATAGTTGCGTGGCACCTGTGCTCAGCAGTATTTTTATAGAAAAAGTTGACCCCGCACTATAGGCTGAGAGTGTGTAAGAGGTGTAAGAGGGGGGGGGGGGGGGGGGGGGAGTGCTGTCTTCTGATGAGCTGCCTCATGGCGGGGCAGAGCCCTCCTGGGCTGCCTCATGGGGGGTCGAGCGCTACCTCTAAGGTAGTGCTGGTGGTAGATTTCCCCAGTGCGTTGTTGAACAATAAACAATAATAATTTGCAGCGTGCACTTCAACTAAAAGTGGACTGCGGGTCCCTGTAATCGAAGTCTTCTGTCTCTCACTGCCCATTAACAGCGATTGGCAAGCTCCAGTAGAAAACAATGGTACATCACTGCGTACCCTCCACTTTCCCAGGTTTCTCTCCAGCGCAACACCGTAATGAGCGCCAGCGCCAACGTTGCCACCAATGTAAGCGTTAGCGCCCGGTGCTTCTCATTTGGGTGATTTCACGTAGGATCGAACAAAGCATGGCTGATCGACTTCTGAAACTTCTTTCAAAATTTTATATATTGTTGCCTGATCAGTGGAAAGAAGAGACCCGCCATTGGTTTTGCTGTAAAAAATTGTTTCAAAGCACAGTAAATAAATAATGACGGAAAGGTGGAGTGGCACGCTTACCTGATCTGCTGCTTTTTTCCAATTTAGTGATGAATTACACAAAATATATTAAAGCTACATGCCTCAAATTTGTTTGGCTACCCATAAGTGTACTGGGGCTTATACTCAATTATACTTGGATTGCCTGCGTAGTGTAATTTTTTAATAAATATTCTCAAACTTGACCTAAAAACGTTTTTATGCCTAGTTTGCAGGCCTTTATTTCAGAAAGGGTCGATGACAAAGCAATGAAAATTCCGCATAGCTTTTTTCAGCATGTTTATTTAACCACAGCTTATATTATTACCTCTTTTCAATAAGAAGATACAATCGAGCTAACTTCAAGAAAAGAGCATGCAAGAGAAACTTCCGAGGACGATTGAAAAAAAATCCCATTTTTGATATTTTTTATACTTTCCCCACCTATTTTACTGCACATTGGCTTTCACAATCAATAAAAACATGTTGCATTATATGGTTTCGCTCGCAGTTACAGCCCACCAAAAATGCCCTTGTGCAAGGGTAGGCAACGGTAGATCGGACTTCTTTCCCACTAGGTATGGAATGCAGGCAAAGTCAGGCTGATGATGATGATGACAACCAAGCCTTATGCTGCAGTGCCTCAATGAACCCCATGCGTACGATGCTAATTTCTAATCATTCCCTACCATGTTTATTAGTGCTAAATTGCAGTGGCGAGACTTGATTTCTCAATACAATATCATGCCAAATCGAAAAGCCATTGGCGTTCACGAATTTCATAAAACCTTCCGACCCACAAATTGTGCCCAGTCTTGCGCAAAGGCCTTATCCGACGGGCCCTCTTCACATCGAAACATGCCCTGAGTGCGCCTGCTTGATCGGTAATCCCACACTCATGGCCGCCCCCGTGACCAAATCCTTTCGAAATTGGCGTCCTTAGTGCAGGCGACAGCTATTGCAATGCTGCTTATTTTTAAGAAGCTGAAGTATAGGCCTGCATTCCATACTTGGAGAACAAGAAGTCCGATCTACCGTTGCCTATCCTTGCGCAAGGACATTTTTTACGGGCCGTAAATGCAAGCAAAACCATGTATTGCAACATGGTTTTATTGATTCTCAAACCTGATGTGCAGTATAATAGGCGGGGAAAATATAAAAATTATCAGAAATGGGACGTTTTTTATCAGAAGTTTCCCTCGAATGCTCTTTTCTTGAAGTTAGCGCGCATATATCTTTACTGAAAAGTGCTAATAATATAAGCTCTGGCAGCATTAATAATAAGCATGCTGAAAAACGATTCAGAATTTTCAGCGCTCTGCCATGGGCCCTTTGTGAAATAAAGGCCTGCAAACTTGACAAAAAAACGTTTTTAGGTCAATTTTGAGATTTTGCGTAAAAAAATCTACACTACACAGACAACCTAAATATAACTGAACGTAAGCGCCAGTACGCCTATATGTAGCCGAACGAATTTGAGGCACGTAGCTTTAATATATTTATATTTTGTATAATCCATCACCAAATTTCAAAAAAGCAACAGAGCAGGTAAGCGTGGCACTCCACCTTTTTGTCATTATTAATTTACTGTGCTTCGAGAAAATTTTTTACAGCAAAACCAATTGCGGATATCTTCTTTCCAATGATCAAGCAACAATATATACAATTTTGCAAGAAATTTAAGAGGTCGACCAGCCATGCTTTGTTTGATCTTGCGTAGAATCGCCAATTTACACATGGTTGCCTTTAGTGGGAGATGGCGTAAATTTTTTTTTTAGAGCTTGGCTCAGGCTCTCATACACCGCCAATGAAGTGTTGGCCATTCTGTTTTGCAGCTATCTTACAGAAGACTGTTTATGTCCGTTCCTTTTCCCTTCTACTTTTAGAGTTCAGATCATCGGGCCAGTATAGAGTCTGGCGCCATGGTTGCATTGAGAATGAAGTCACAGGATGATGAAAATTGCAGCATTTTCACGGCTCGTGCGCAAAATAAGTATGGAATCTATGCGTATGCATCAAGCAAACAAACGCTTTTGTATTTAACAGAGATTTGTTTATTATCTTCTTAAAGAGACACTAAAGTCAAAAATTTACGCCAGAGTGAAAGCTCAATGTATGACAGCATCTAAAATGACAATATTATCAACAACAGTGCTCTACTTACCGAGAAATTAAGGTATATGCACAAAAACACAAGCCCCGCAGTAGGACATCTTCAAAACAATCCTGATGAGACCAGACGGACTGCCTACAATTATTTACTAGTAATCGATCTAACTCCACTAAATAAAGAGCTTTCCATGCAGCAAGACATGCAATAAAATGCTGCTTGTTCATTTCTGTTTGATTCATGAAAAAAAGAAGCGCCGGACATTACTATGGGGAATTGTGCGAATGATTGAAAAAATCAATTCTCGCAGGACAGGTGGCGCCATCTAGCAGGGTGCAGTTGAAACAAAAAATGTCTGCAATCTTGAAGCCAATGGCGGCAAATTGATTAATGGCCGTTGTTGCCACTGTGGCTCCCGCTGCTTTCGTTCTGC